TTTTTTATTGTCAATGGACCTTTATTTATTTATATGCGGTGCTGAGAATCAAACCCAGTGCCTCACACATGCTAGGCAAGCACCCTACTACTGAATGACAACCCCAGCCCCAGGAGAAATTACTTCTAATAGCCTGTTTGCTGTTTTCTAGCAATGTCAGTTCTCTGCATGAGGGTCTTAGGTCATGGAGCATTTTTTTTTTTTTGGTGTGGTACTGGGGTTTGAACACAGGGCCTCATGCATCCTAGAAAAGCACTCTCCCACTGAGCTACAACTCCAGCCCTTTTAAAAATTTTTGAGGGGCTGGGGATTTGGCTCAAGCGGTAGCGTGCTTGCCTGGCATGCCAGCGGCCCGGGTTCAATCCTCAGCACCACATACAAACAAAGATGTTGTGTCTGCTGAAAACTAAAAAATAAAACATTAAAAAACTCTCTCTCTCTCACACACACTCTCTCTTAAAAAAAATAAAAATAAAAATTTTTGAGATAGGATCTAACCAAGTGCCCAGGTTGGTCTCAAACTTGTGATCTTGCCTCAGCCTCCCAAGTTGCTGGGATTATTGGCATGTGCCACTGTGCCCCGCTCCTCTGGACATCATTAAGACCAGTATTCCCTCCAAACTATGCTATTACTTCCCCCAAAGTTTTGTCACTTCCATATCCCTAGGGTATTCTTCCTTATTGGTCAGAATGAAGGCCTGAGCGTAAGCTTCCTTTGTAGCTGCCTCTGCCTTCTAAGAGAGAAGATCGTCAATAATGAGTTGTACATGTATTCGTTGCTCTTTTAATAACCAAACAAGACTTCTGCCCAATGTTTTTGCTTCCCAGCAGGGAATCAGTTTGTAGTTACACCATCTTCCTAATTTGTAGGACTAATGGAGGAACACAGAGTTGTTTTTTTTTTTTTTTTTTTTGCTGGGGATTGAACCCAGGGCCTTGTACATGTGAGTAAGTACTCTACCAACTGAGCTATATCCCCAGCCCAATTTCTTTGTTTATAGTATGACCATGGAAGTTTTAAAGGCAGAGCCTGTGGGGTTAAGATGGGGAAACAGAGATATTGTAGCTGAGCAAGGGTCCTAGTGTCCTACTAGCCATAGATTCAGCTTTTCTTTTCTTATCTATAGAGCCTTCTCTCTCTCCTAATTTTCCCAGGGGCAGGGTTGAGTAAGGCTTCTGGTTAGCATAAAAACCAGGTATAGTCTGGACCTGGATAAGAAGGAAGTACATCCAGGTCTCACATCTTAGTATTTTTCTACATCAAGTGGTTCCCATTTCTTTTCTTTCTTTCTTTTTTAAAAATGTATTTTTAGATGTTGATGGACTTAATTTTATTATTTATATGCGGTGCTGAGAATTGAACCCAGTGTCTCATACATGCTGAGCAAGCACCTTAACACTGAGGTTCAACCCCAGCCCCAGGTGGTTCCCATTTCTAAGGGGCCCTTTTCTACATTTAAGTGAGGAACTTAAGAGGTCCAAACTCCTGTCAATGTGAAAGTGCTGAGCAAAGGGAAGCCCAAGTGAAGGGCCATATAGCCAGGTGGGCCCCAATGTCACGTGTGAGTGACCCCTTACTCTTTTGAGATAGGATCTAGCCAAGTGCCCAGGCTGGTTCAAACTTGTGATCTTCTTGCTTCAGCCTCCCAAGTTGCTGGGATTACTGGCATGTGCTGAGATTACGGTGCCCAGCTCTCTGGACATCATTAAGACCAGTATTCCCTCCAAGCTATGCTATTACTTTCCCATGGTGGGCACTGCAGGGTTGACACAGAAGTGCCTACTCAGAGATGCCAGGCTGGAGACAGAGACTACAGGTGATACCTGAGTGTACTCTCAGGTTGGACCCTCAGGAATGGAGAGCAGAAGGGGAAGAAGGTCCCACAGTCTGAAGTGGGTCCCAGCAAGGGCTATAAAAGTTCATTTCCCCATCCAAGTGGTAGTTGTCTCACTCTGTGACCCCCAGAAGGGGCAGGCATCATTCTGCAGAAAACCAAAATGATGTAGCTGCTTCACCCTAGTGCCTTGGCGAGCACAGCCACATTGCCTGGCCCATGCACACTCCTGTCTTACTGCCATGCAAAGGGCAAGAAGTGCAGGGGCACTCCTGTCATGCTGCACTGACTGGGCTGGATGGAGGCTGTGGGGCAGGCAAAAATTGTCCCTTTTCAGTTTGGGGTCAGAATGAATGATACTGCCCAGAACATGACTGCAGCTGCAGGCAAGATACCCCTCTACCTCTTAAGTTCCTTCTGCTTCTTCCTGTTCTTGGGTAGGGCCCATCTAAGGAAGACTTCTGAAAAATTACAGCTCAGCTCCGATTAACCTTCCATGAACCCAGCTGGCTATCTCAGGTGTCTCTTCGAGTAGATGTGGAACTGCTCTGGCATCTCTCTGCTAAGAGCACAATAATATGGCAGTGGGGGGGCAACAACAGTGGTGAAGGAATCCTGACCCCAGTCTTGGCATCTGACTGATGTCTGAGGGCCAGATTATTGGTAGGCTCAGCCTCACTTTACCTCTGTCCACCAAGGCCCAAGCCCTGTACATCACAATAACAAGGTGTCCTGACTCACAAGTTCAAGAAGGAAACCAGAGGGAAAGGCAGTGGTGTTGGTACTAAGACATTTATTACATCATAAAAAGTCCATTGTTGTCATTGTTTTTCCATATGTACATGCTCCTGTGGGCAGTCCTCTCATCCAACCCCACCTGCCCACCCACCATGGTACCAATCAACTCTCCAAACTGATCCACCAATTAATACAAGAGGAAGAATTGGAAGAGGTGGTCCAGGGCTGATGGGAATGGGCTGGGAGAGGGAAACAAAGTGCAGAGTGGTTGGGCTTGGCTCTCAATGGCTGACCTGGGCAGGAGGGGCACATGGTGGGCACTTCAGGGTTGACACAGCAGTGCCTACTCAGAGCTGCCAGGCTGGAGACAGAGACTACAGTACTCTCAGGTTGGATCCTCAGGAATGGAGAGCAAAAGGGGAAGAAGGTCCTGTAGCCTGAATTGGGTCCCAGCAAGGGCTATAAAAGTTCATTTCCCCATCCAAGTGGCAGCGATGGCAGCTTGGATTGGGCCTGAAAAGTTTATGGCCCTGAGACAGGTGGAAGCAGGGTGGGAATAGTCTGGTGGGATATATAGTCCTGATCTCTAAGGGACCTGCTTTATTTAGTTGACCTCGGAGGTGGGTATGGGGTCTGTAGGGCGGGGTGTAGCCAGGAGAGGAACTGGAGAGGTGGCCTCTATGAGTGCAGGGTTAAGGATAATAGGCAGAGTCATGGGTGGCACGCCCACCTGTAGTGGGGAAGCCAAGGGCTGCAAGATCAGTGGGGGCTGAGCCAGAGTGGGAGGCCCATCTGGGGTAGGGCTAAGCCTGCTGGGACTAGAGGACACCGGTGATCCAGGGGAGCTGCTGTTGGTGGCTCGGGGGCCCTCTGGCTTCTCCAAGTCTATAAAGAAAGCAAGATGGCTGCAATCAGACTCTTATTGGCAAGGGGCAATTCTCATACTCCTCAGCTGGCTTACCAAACCAGCTGGTTTCCTTCAAATTTGCAGTCTAAAAAGTTAGAAGTCTCCCCTCAAAACTCATTTCAATGTTTGGCTACCCTACTTCTACCCTTCATCTCCTTTGCTGAAGTTCTCATAAGGTTAATCTTGGTCTGATCTTTACTAGAATCCCTGAAAGGCAGCCTTTGCATATTTATTCCAACCCACTGACCTAGCCCTCTTCTCCAAACCTTACTATCTGAAACAGGCAGACTATCTCAGCACAGATTATTTGGTCCTGCCATTTCTCAGAGCAAGAGCAGGTAAATCGGATTCTTGGGTTGTCTCCTTCCTCTGGCTCCCACTCAGTGCTTAGCAGCAACCCCAAGCTATCCTGGGCCTCCTCTTTGGCCTCTTGCTTCCTGTCAAACTGATACACTAGCCCAGAGGGACTCACCACAGGCCCCAAGCTCTGAGGGTATTTCTGGGGGAGGTGGGTGTCCAGGTGTTCTGGGGTCACCAGCAGCAGGAGTCAGGTGGGCTGAGGCCAGAGATTTTGGGCCATGAGGCTCTGTGGGCATGGGATCTAGGGTAGGCAGAGAATACAGACGGCCACTCTTAGTGTTTTCCTTCTAGCAGAGGCCTGGCTACCTATCAGTCTTCTCAGGACACAGAGAATGAATTTAGCTTTGGGGACTCTTTAGTAAGACTGGGCTGGGGCCCCTACCTTGAATGACAGTCTGCTTGAAGAGCTCATCACGTAGGTGTGGCAGAAAGCAGTCAATGCGCTCCCAGGTGATCTCCCAGAGGGCAGAGGGACTACCTCCTCGTGTATCTGCACTGTGGAAAATCTCTGCTGTGTCCATCACCAGGAGCATGTTCTTTAGAGATTCAGGGATGGCCTCTGACTGCAGGCAGCAGCAGGATCATGAGAACAGGAAAGAGGCATGGGAAGGCAGCTTCCAAGGAGGAGATAGCAAGACTTCCCAGGAGGTGGGAGAGGAAGTGGGCAATGGAGTTGAGCTGAGGTAGAACTTACCAGTAAATCACTGGAGCCTGCATGCATGTACTTGTCCATGAAGTCTAGGATGGTGAGCCAGAGGGCCGCAAAGGTGGAGAGTGACAGCAGTGGAGATAGATGCTGCAGGAAGACCTATGGCCCACCAGTCCCTTTTAGCCAAGGGTAGTATAGGAACCCTCTGCACCCCTCTCCAAGGCTGGGAGGCAGACCTGCCCCATCTTGCATGGGAATCTTAGATTAGACATTGCTGTGAAATTCAGAATTCTCCTGAGTCCCTGGGTTCTTCTGAATTTCCATTCTAGGGCTCCTGAGCACCAAGTCCTACCAAAAGCTCTGGCTTCCCCCCTTGGAAAAATGTAAGTGTGGGGAGAGTAGGAGGTATTGGATGGTGAGCCATACCTTTGAAAGCAGCGTGGAAGCCCTCATCCGGGTCTCCTCCATTCCACCCACATCTGCTGGGCTGATGTTCTCCAAGAGCTTGGTCAGTAGTGGAAACAGTACCTGGAGAGTAAATATCTGATGTCACCATAGCCAGATCAGTTGGAAGCTCTGCTCAAAGGAAACCAGTGCTGTGTGACGGGCACAGAACAGCAAAGAAGGTACGAAAGAGGCTGAGTATAGATCATGGGGCTCTTCAGGTTACCTAGTTCTTCTTGCCTTACAATTTGAATTTTAAGACCAGTATGAAGTCCTTACCTTATTAAAACAGGATTCCCATTCCAGGGCATCTAGCTTTTGCAGGTCATGTACCAGTAGTGCTCGCTGTAGATAGGTTAGTGCCTGCATCCGCACCTGGCGCCGGGCATCACAGCATAGGCAGGCAATGCCTGAGAGCAAGAACAGGGTCAGGATCCTTCAGGCAGTCGGTATTGTGCTCCCCAAGCTCCAGCACCATCTCTGCCCTACCCTGCCTGCTCCCCCAGATTACCCTGAAGTAAGGGGCACCAGCAGTGGGCCCAGAGGGTCCTTGAATCAGCTTCGATCTTCCGGCCACCTGTCTCCAGGTGGCGCTGCTCTTCTGCCCATGAGCTGTAGATAGAGGCTGCCCGTGTGTGCAGAGTGTGCATCAGGTCTAGCAACTGGGATCACAGGAGAGGGCAGGATATGAGTGGGGTTAGGTCTAGTGGGACCCCCTTTCCCAACCCCTGTCCCTGACTGAGTCCTCAAGGGGCCCCTAGCATTAGTTATGCCACACTCTAACCCTTTTTGCTACTCCCTTTGCCTCAACTTGATGGGCTGGTTGCTCCAGTCTTCATTGTTTCTTAGTCAGAAGTTGCTCAGGGTAGAACAGGCTTTAGGAGATGTGCAGACTAAGATTTAGCGCACAGATTCACAGCAAGAAAGATATTTTTGTTTCAATTCTATTTTATACTTTCCAATGACTCAGAAAGCCTTGTTTTTGTTAATCTCATTTTAAAACTAAAGCAAACCTCTGGCTCAGAGGCTTTCACTGGGCAAGAGTAAGTGGCCAAATTTAATACTTTTTATTTTCATCACTCTTTTCTGTTTTCTTTTTGGCAGTACTGGATTATTTTCATCACTTTCTAAAGTTATTCTGGCTAAGGCAATTGTTTCTTCATTTATTAGTCAACTCATAAGATCAATTTTACATGCCTTGAGTAGACACAGAATAACTCTGGAAGAACAGACAAGAAACTGGTACAATGGTTGCCTTTAGTGAGAGGAACTTGGTGGCTAGGGACAGGAATGGAATGGCAACTTACTTTTATCAGTTTACCCTTTTATACCTTTTGAACTTTGTATCATGTGCATATATTACCTATTCAAAAAATAAGTAAACCTTAATTTAAAATTAATTTTAAGCAAGCAAAGGTATACAGGGGGTGTTGGATAAGGGGAATATTGTAGAGGTAGTAATTGAGGGCCTGGGCAGGATACACAGACCCTTCCCCTCTCAGCTCTGGCTTTCCCCAGCCCCACCCTGTCTCCCAGTCTCAGGGGCAGGGGAGGAGAGGAAGTAAAGGGTGCCATACTTACGTCCTGACTGACCTGTAAAGACACAGTGTGGTAGCTGGCAGGCACGCCTTCATCCTCGTCATCATCACTGTGCCCACCCCGAGTAGTGTGTTGGCTGGAGGTTCTAGGTCGCCGAAGCATTGAACCCTCCTTAGATTTCTTCTTGAAGCGGTTCCCCTTGCTGTCATATTTATGACTCTTGCTACGTTTCTCCTGGGACTTGCACCCTGAGCAGAGCCAGACCCAGGTCACATTTCAGAGATTCCCTGCCCTTTTCCCCTGTATATTTGCATGGCCAATCCCCACTGCCCCTTCACCAGGTGACCTACCGCCATTCAGACTGGCCTCCACAAAGATACGGAGAGTCTTGACGCACAGCTCAAAGTTGTCAGGGGTGATGTGGGCAGCGTCACGTACAATGAAGGACAGTGATTCCACACACTTAAGCAGAGACTTAGTGTCATGTGGCCCCAGGTCCAGACCTACTGTTAGACTATACTGATTGACCAGGGGTGAAGGGCCTGGCCGGCTGGGCCCTGGTCCTGGCTTGGAGTTATCAATGTCATCCTTTCCCACCTGTAAAGTACACAGGATACAAGATGGGGACCAGGCTTGAACCCTATTCACCTCTGGATGCCTTCTCAGAGGACCAGGAATCTTTCTCACAGAACCAGGAGGGAAGACTCATCCGTTGCACATACCCTCTTCACTTACCACCAACCAACCGCTGTTGACTACATCAGCATCTGTGGCTGATCGGTGTATTTTGCCAGGTCTGCCATGGTCTGTGTAGACCTCTGAGTCAGAAGTGTACCCTCGGTCCAGGCTCACATCATTTTGATGATAGGATGGGAGCTCACTGTCTGACTGGGCCCCTAAGCCAGGCAGAGAAAAGGGCAGAGTCAAGGTGGAGATGGGACACTGGGACAAAGGATAATTTAGGCTCTCAGAAGAAAGGTATTGAGGCCTGGCCTTCCCTCTCTCTGGCCTGGCTCATTTTCAGCCATGTCAACAGAGGGCTGAAGCCTGGACAACTTCTCTCTTGACCAAATAGGGGAAATGGGCTAATTTGGGCTTCTATGATATCTAGTAATAGCTGTCAGGGAAAGGGGATGGTAGTGAGAACAATTTCTGGGAAAATGGTCCTCAGGACAATAAGCAGCCTGCTGCTTAGCCCTTTGCCTTACCTCCTTGCCTCCATATGATTCAATTTGTTGGTACTGGTAAGTGGGCACTGGAAATTCTTGAAGCAGATAGCAGAAAGCCAGGCATGTTTGATTGGCTGAATGGCAATAACTTGTTTTGTTTTCCTATCCAAACTCCTGGGGCCATAGCTGTTTATCCATCAGGGAGTATTTCTGTGGGAAAAGGCTTACCAGCATCAGGTGCATCAGTACTGGCTGTGGCCTGCAGAGCTGCTGGAGGCTTCACCCCTGAGCCGATGCATTCGAGCAGTGTAAAGAGGGTGGCCCAGTCATCACTGGAGTGGATGTTGGCTGCATTGGTCTTAAGAAGTTCATGGAGTCCGTATGCAACCTGGTGACTGACTCTGGATAGCACACTGGGCTTCATCAGTAGCAAGATGCGCAGGGAGAGCAGCACCTGGAATGAGGGTTAGGAGCATGAAATGGGGAGGGGGCACATTGCTTCCTGTTTAGTTTCATTTCCCATCAGCCTGTTTAGCTGGGACCCAACTTAAGGCACTGCTGCTGGTCTTGTCTTATTTGTATTTCCCTAGTTTTCTTGTATTCATATGTATGTGTGTGTGTGCATCAAATTCTACATAAGTTTGCCATCTGCACTGAGGATTGAACCCAGGGGCAATCCTGGGTTTGCCTGAACCATATCCACAACCCTTTTTGAGATGGGGTCTCACTAATAGCTTAGGCCCTTGCTAAGTTGCTGAGGCTGGTCTTGAACTCGCAGTCCTCCTATCTCAGCGCCAGGGAACCCACAGACCACCTGTATAGTTTTGTGTATCCACCACAAGTTAAGTTATACTGAATAGTTTCTATACCATGAGATCCCTCACGCAGTACTTTTATACGTCTCCTCTTTTTTCCTTCCTCATTCTTATCTCCTAGCAATCTGTATCCAACTTCTAAAATTCTCTAAGTCCAAAAGTTATATAAATGAAATTATATGGTATAAAACTTTTTTTTTTTTTATACTGGGGATTGAACACAGGGACACTTTACCACTGTGCTACATCCCCAGCCCTTTCTATTTTTTATTATAAGACAGAGTCTCACTAAGTTGCTGAGGTTGGCTTTGAAATTTCTATCCTCTTGCCTCAGCCTCCTGAATCTCTGGGATTACAGATGTGCTCCACATAGCTGGTTAGTGTATAACCTTTTTTTTTTTTTTTTAAAGTTTCTTACATTATCATTTTATTAAAGATTCTTTTTTTTTTTTTTAAAGAGAGAGTGAGAGAGGGGAGAGAGAGAGAGAGAATTTTTTTTTTTTTAATATTTATTTTTCAGTTCTCGGTGAACACAACATCTTTGTTGGTATGTGGTGCTGAGGATCGAACCCGGGCCGCACGCACGCCAGGCGAGCGCGCTACCGCTTGAGCCACATCCCCAGCCCCTATTAAAGATTCTTATAACTAAAAATCCATATATACATTTTCCTATGCTATAATTCAGTGTTGACTAAACCTACTACCAAATAAAAAAATTAACCCAGGCAATTTGGCACATTTAAGGAATACTTACAGTTCATAGAGAACTTTTTTTTTAGGTGTAGATGGACACAACACAATGCCTTTATTTTTATGTGGTACTGAGGAGCGAACCCAGGTCCCACCCATGCTAGGCAAGCGCTCTACCACTGAGCCACAATTCCAGCCCCAAATTGTTTTCTTAAGATAAACCCAAAAAGAAGAAAAATGTTATGAATGAATCAAACTCTGAGATGGAGCCTTAGATTACATACTTAGTATATAACCTTTTTAAAAAATATTTTTAGTTGTAGATGGACACAATATCTTTATTTTGTTTATTTAGTTTTATGTGGTGCTGAGTATCGAACCCAGGGCCTCACACATGCTAAGTAAGTGCTCTACCACTGAGCTACAACCCCAGCCGCAGTATATAACCTTTTGAGCTGGGCTTTTCACTCAGTATAATTCTCTGGAGTTTCTTCCAAGTTATTACATGCATTAGTCAACAGTCTGTTGCTTACACTGCTTAACAGTATGCCACGCTATGTGTGTGTGTGTAACAGTTTATTTATTGAAAATCACCTAGGCTGATTCCAGTTTTTGGGTAATAAAAATAAGACTTTCATGAACATTCATGTACATGTTTTTATGATAAAATAAGCTTCATTTTTCTGGGATAAATGCTCAAGAGTGCAATTGCTGGGTTGTATGGTAACTGCATTTTTCTTTTTTTTTTTTTTTTTAGAACACCTGACAATTTAATCATATATTGTTTTGCACCATATTCATCTCAGGAATGGTCTGTTGTTCTTTTTTAAATGTGTGAGACAAGCACTCTGCCACTAAGCCACAACCCCAGCCCCATATTTGGTTTTATAAGAAACTATCAACAGATTAGCTACACTATTTCACATCTCCACCAGCAATGTATGAATTATCCAGTTCCTCTGCATTCTT